TCATCCAACAGTGAGCTGACAAAGGGGCTGCTGCACCTGTAAGCATGCATGTTGCACCATAATCATCGAATGTATTCTTGGGTTTTTTCGGTAAAGTCACATGGGTAAAAAATTAAAATTAATAAAAGTAAAATAAAAAATAAAATAAAAATCACGACGTTTCGGAGGCAACACAAGCTTCCGTCTTCAGGTGGAACTGTCACAGCACGCTCGCTGTATCAAGTAAATTAGAAATTCCAAGAAATCCGACCCCGTATATATACTGGTTGAGGGAGGAGGAGCCAGGGCAAGCCCCTGGATAGGAGTTTTTATTATTATTATGGTAAGGTTGGTGCGGCTGAAGCTACGGCTAGTCTACATAACAAAGGACTGAGCCTTTGTTATGTAGACTCGCTGAGAGGGGGGTGGTGCCAGAGTTGTTATAGACTGCGTTTCTCTACTTGCATAAAAAAGAGAGCCTTGCACTGCAATGTATCTGTGCTCTTGACTTCATAATAAATCAGTCGTCCCCCCTTGGCTGGCTCTTGCCCCCCCCCTTATTTTGAGACATCCACTTGATACAGCAAATCTGGCTGTGACGGTCCCACCTGATGACGGAGACTTGTGTTGCCTCTGAAACGTCGTGATTTTTATTATTTTATTTTTTATTAATTTTATTTTTTACCTACGTGACTTTACCGAAAAAACTAAAAGTATGAATCCTTGCAGTCACGAAAGATTCAAATCTAGAATTAATACATCCTAAAAGAGCCGTAATAAATCATGCGCGCGCGTTCAGCTGAACGAGCAACCGGTAAAGCATCGTCTGCAATGCTTGCGGTATCGCTTCGGGTGCCGGAGTTGCCCTGGGATTAAAATGTTAATGTGAATACAGCATCAGGTATCTCGGCCCCCCCCACCCGTGCCTCATGCTTGGCTTCCTCGCCCCGCACTTCGCTAGAATGGTTGGGCAGAATTTAATTACGACACGGCAGTGTGGCTCTTGTATTCCCTTCAGATCTAATCTGTATCCTGAAGCCAACACAACGGAGTCGAGGGATGTTTTCGTGCATTGGAGAAGCCTACGGAGTGGCTTCTCCAATGCGCGCACTTGCGTTGCTTTGGTGTCATATCCACGCACATCAACTGTGACCCAATCACACACATAATGGGCCCAATCTCTTAATAGATCACAAACGTACTTGGGGTTTGTGAATGTTACCCTCTGCATATGCGCGTGGTGGAATGCATACACGCACACGTGCAATAGGTAACTATTCACGTGCCAATTTAGAAATTGAACCTTGTGGCGAGACCCCGGGGTCCCGAATAAACGGAATTCAAAATCGTAATTAGTTAATTTATTTTTGGCGGCTCCATCCCACCGCGCACATAAACGCCGCGACCCACCAGAAATCAATCCTCTCGTTCTTCACCCAGCACCCATCGTTGCCAAAATTGCCGTAGTCCTAAACAAAACTTTCATTATCGCATTGTGTAGAGCTCGTTGATTGGTATAGATCGCCGTATCGTTCGCCTTCAACAGACAATAAAATGACGTCGCAACGCAGTTGATGCGAGAGCCGGGGGCTTATGGGACCCCGGGGGCTTATGGGACCCCGGGGGCTTATGGAACCCCGGGGGCTTATGGGACCCCGGGGGCTTATGGGACCCCGGGGGCTTATGGGACCCCGGGGGCTTATGGGACCCCGGGGGCTTATGGAACCCCGGGGGCTTATGGGACCCCGGGGGCTTATGGGACCCCGGGGGCTTATGGGACCCCGGGGGCTTATGGGACCCCGGGGGCTTATGGGACCCCGGGGTCCTGCCATAAGGTTAATTTGTTCATCGGGACACATGTTTTTAATTCTCACCAGGCCCCTTAGTGTAGGCCTGACAATTTATCTGCTATGAAGAAGGGTCGTTTTCTCAAATGCCACCCATTATCTCGCCTTTCCCTCTAGGGCAGCGTTACTGACCAAGGTTTTGAGTTGAACGTTTTTCATTTTGTGCCCGTGCCACCGCTGCCGATGCAGCGTCGCCAACTCATTGGCTTAATGCTTGAGGAAGGATTCCCCACTCCGGCACCTAAAGCGATACCGAGGTAGCTCTGGAGGGCTCTCCCATCACGAGCGTCTGGTCGACGCTCCCACGTGGAGCTGCGAGTGTGGGAGTGCCCACACCTTACCCTGCCGCGCGCACTCGACCTGCCGCTCGACGACGACTTGCGGCGCTCCCAATTATACTGCTGGGTGGACAGAAGCTAAGGGGGGGGGGGGGGGGGATTTAATAGTTTCAACTCTCGTGCAGGGGGAGATTGAATTGAACCGGAGACCTCTGGATTGCAAGATAAGTGTGTTAACCATTACAACTGCAGCAGCATCCATGTAATTGTATAAAGTACAACAACAGATACGTTTGATTGTTTCCCATCATCGACATCTCTTTCCTAATAGCACAGCAAGCAAATCAATGGGACACTCCTCTTGGCACTACCCCGGACGGCTCGAGGCAAAGTCACCGCGTGGCCAGGAGGCAGAGAGAGGGTTAAGCCACCAACATCATCAACCGAGCGTGAGCACGCGTGCGTACCTGCAAGACGTATCGGGCTGCATTGTGGGGACATGCGGGGTAATTGAGTTTGGGGATGGAAGGCACGAGACCGTGAATGCTCCTGATTGTAGCAGGAGGTCAGAGGAAGTGACAGATTGTAACTTCATAATGGAAGCGCGAACGTTGGTGGCACGCACTTTGCCTCGCTGTCCGTCCCCCGCACATCCGATGAGCACGAGCGGCTACGTGCGGTGTGAAAAGAGGTTCCGCGCACACACAGGCACAGGTCCCGTGTGTTTACTAAAGCGAGGGTGGACATGCAGTGCGGTTCAGTGAGTGCAGTCTGCACTGCATGCATGCCATGCAGACTTCTAGAGAGAGGTATGCATCTGACTTGCTTTTCTGAATCCTCGTTATCGTTGCCGACAGCACACACTGCCATGTATTTGTTTAGAACTGAGACAATGATAAAGACGTTGACAGTGTGACACGACCAGTGGTGAGAGATTGCCTGCACTTCATTGGTTCAAAAACTGCAAAGGGTTCTGGTTGGAGTGCTATGAAAATCATGAGAAGGAAAATTTATTTTGTAATATTTTACACTGGTATATTATTCTCATATTAAACTTGGACATTATTCTATGATTCTGATTTGGCATATGCACATAAATGCCTGATATTGTATGAGTACACCGGCAGTATATAAGGAGTAGCAGTGATAATACTTAATATGGTAGAAGCCTTTTGGCGTCCTCTGGTCTAACACCGTTTTGAGACTCGGCTCAAACAAAAGATGTCTCTGGTGTGGACCTATCAGTTTCAACGACAATGCAAATATTATCAGAGTATGTTTTTTGTTTGCATTTTGACCACACGTATTGTGGTTAATGCAGACATGATTCCTTGTAAAAGGTTTCAGTTTGGTGTTTCAACATCTTAACACCTGTTTTGTTGCCAGAAAAAAGGGGAAAACCTATTCTCATGGTAGAAGTAATCATTATAACGGATGTTATTCAATAAATCATAACGGATGTTATATAGTTATTGAATAAAAGGTAAAATGTTACATTGGCAATGAAAAGCTACACAGATCGTTATGTTGTAATTTGGCTTTCATAAAAACAAAGTTAAAATGCATGACTTACGCCTACTACGCAAAATGATGTCTATAAGTCTAGAGTTTGGTATTTATAATTATAACCTAGACCCTAGTGTCAATCCACTGCTGGATGAAGGCTTCCCCATGCTGTCAATCATGCAACATGCTTGACCACACTTTCATTCCACGCTTTCAATACGAGGTGGTGAATGTCCACCTCGAATCCGTTCAGATAGCACTCGCCGCTGATACAACATTAGCCATGGCCGGGAATGAAGCCTAGATCACACAATTCAGAGCAAAGTGTGCTAAGTAGCCATGTTTGTTTGTTGTAGTACAGAGTTAGACTGATGGCCTTAATCTAAGTTGTCTTGTGGTTGTTGTTGTTGGTTGTTTGACTTGCATCCCACTGGGATGTTTGCACACAGCGTTGGTGTACGGTGTTTTTTCTGCAATAATTTGCTGTCTTTTCTTGGAATTATTTGTTTGCACTCAGTCACATATTCACTTTAAGATGTTTTTTTTGTTCATGTTTTTTTGTTTGTTGCGGTTGCACCCAATTCCAGAGCCTAATGGCCCACAGGGCTATACCTAATAAATGAACTTGAACTTGAAGTAACCAGCAAATATGCAACGTGGGAGCAACGTTGGGCGAACGTTGGCACAGCGTTCCTTGTTTGCTGGGTAACGTGACATCACTCCATCTGGTGGAGATGCTTTTTGGGTAAGCAGGGTCCCACGCAAAACCACATCGCCTGGAATATGCGCAGGTGTCATCACAAAGCTGTAGAAGCTAAACAGCTCGTTGAGCCTGGTAACATAAACACGGGCGTTGTGGGATACCGTATGGCCGAGGACAGTGAAGCAACATCCATTGTCGTGCCAAGCTACGCTTCACTATGTCCGTTTCTCACCTTCACCAACACACACGAACTAGCGTGGTGAAGTATGGTCAAATAGCCCCCCTGTGCAGCGTGGGGAGGCCCTCATCCAGCAGTGGATCGACAAGAATGCGGCATCTATAGATTTCACGTGTGCCGTTAATGGCAAGCGTTGCCTCCGCGTACAATTTACGACCGAAACTCGTGAGCCTCTCGTAGTTAATGCGTTACTCGTAAAAGAAAAAGGGGGAAAAAAGGGAGAAAAAAAAACCGATGACGCATTCAACATGTGCCTGCAATCCACAGTGCCAAAAGGCCTTTGAACCGGCACTAAACCGAGGGCATCTCGCGCACGCAGTCAATTAAAGCGGAGCGATTTGCGATCCCCGCCAACCCGAGCAGCGGCCGGAACCTCACGAAAAGTGCCGGCTAAGGACAACGGAGATCGGCGGCGGAGGGGCGGGGGAGTGCTGGGGGGGGCTATTTAAACTCTGCGTTCTCCGCTCAGTCGTCCCAAGTCCCACTGATCGTGGGTTGCCAAGCGATACGTATTCTCGCGATGGGTCACCGCAAGGGCAGGCCTCTAGCCTCGGCAGTGGTGGTGGTGGTGCTGGTGCTTTTGGGTGCACTTGGAGGGAGCTGGGCTGACACCCCGGCCAATTGTTCGTACGGAGACCTCCTGGGAACCTGGGTTCTCCAGGTGGGGAAGGGAGGACAAAACAGCAGTATCGACTGCTCCAGCATGGGTGAGACATCACTGACAAAAGGCGCTTATTGGCTCACAAACTACACGCCGCGGTGGCTTATCCAGAAACCATCAAATGGCTTGCTCTAGTTTGTTGTTGTTGTTGCAGGGAGCAGAAATAGAGGAATTGACATGTACTCTGACGTGTCTACAATTGGCCAAAATGTTGTCGGCTACAGAGTATGTTTCTGTCGTGGTTGTTTTTGTTGTCGCACTTATCAACGTGTCACCTTGATTTTGTTTTATATGTGTGCATACATCAGTGTACATATATACACATGTCCCTGCGCAATATCCCTTCTGGGATATAGCTCACAAAAACAGAAGAATGGAAAAGAAAGATGCCGCAGACGTTGATTACAAACGCCCAGTGAAATTAATACGGTGAGAGCAGGCAACGCGCGTGACGTTTCGCCCGCAGAACTAACGCACGATTTGCATTAGCCACGAGTGCTTATGCACCTTGATGCGTGCGACTCGGGTGACCTCGGTGACCTCACGCTACAATTAATGCGACCACAAGTGCTTCCTGACAGCTGAAGGAGGGCATTGCTAGTTGGATACATCGTATGTTTTGCATCCTTAAGTGCGGCGCGTTATTATTGTTCGGTGCGGATGCGTGTTCGCGTTACATGTGTTTAGTGCGGGGTGCAGTAATTTCGTGGCTTATCCACTGTGTAACAAGCGCCCACTGACCCAGATTTAATCCTAGTTATGATGTACAGCAACAATGGCACGTGGTCACTGGAAATTGGCCTCGCGGGATACTCAGCATTCCATGAGTAATTGGAACATCAGCACTTGGGAAACAAAGGTGGTCGGTCATAATTCTGGCTGCATTACCTTCCCGTGTGCTTATGGTGACCTTAATAGGCGCTCACGAACATAACTTGCATTCGTAGCTTATAAGGCCAAGCAGGAGGATATTTATGCTGTGTGCCTTATGTGCGTTCACAATTATACAAAGCGTATAAACCAAATGCATATTTAAGCATATCCAGAAAGTTGTGCATTGTTATTTTCAATCATACCAATGTACATTTCGTTTCACGGTGGTGTATTTGAAAATTATGATATTATTTAGCACAAATAATTTTTGCTCTATGTGTTTAGTTTCTTGTCCTTCACCCTCCCGCACCTCCGATAAGCGCGGTCGGCTTCGTACGAAAGAAGTTCAACACACTTGTATACATTTATTCGAACATTTTCGATTTAAAGCTTTCGTGACTGCAGGGATTCATGTTCTTGGTTCTTTCGGTAAAGTCACTTAGAAGGGAAATAATAAAAGAATACAAATTAAAAGTAAAAAAAATTATTCTATTTTTATTTTATTATGTTTTATTTTTATTATTTTATTATTTCCCTTCTACGTGACTTTACCGAAAGAACCAAGAAGATTATTCGAACATGTTTGAAAATACGGAAACTGCATGCACTGTCATAGCAAAACCTTTAAACAGAATGTACAACGTTAAATGAGAATAATGAACACCGTATATCATTTATACAACAATATGGAAAATCATAGTGAGGCTTTTTCATGCAAACATCAAACACGTATTGCGGTGCAGCACGAGGCTATATATGCTAATGTGTCTGCAGGAAATCTTGTAAACTATCCAACAGTGACCAACTAGCCGCGGTCTCTCTTGTCTAATGAGCCCATTAAACTAAGCTACGCTCCGTTGTCACAGGTGGTGAATCATGCTTGAAAACAAATCCTCCCTTTTGTGCTGCTCCGAAGACAAATCTGACAACGCCCATGCAAGCCTCATATCTGCAGAAATACGCAAATTTGAACGGAAAGATCACGCGCCGAAAAATTTAAGAAGCGAACGTAATCGTTCACTCTTTGTAAATATTCAAATTGTACGTGTTTAAATCTTGGAACTATCCTTTAAAAAAATGTAATGCAATAGTGGCATATTGCTTATGCAATTAAAACACAGTTAGTTTAATATTTTCAGAAATAATTTAGCTAGGAATTAACCCAATCATTTTTTTATTTAAAAAAGCATTTGCTTATTAGTTGATATGTGCGAGTGGACGAGATTTGATTGATTTTTAGCAAACGTTTCACAATGACAAAAACAATGTGGTTCGTTCTATTTAAATTTCCATCCTATGCCAAACAAATTATAATACTAGGGTTGGGAAGAATATAACAGGTGTGTTATAGAGAGATATCACACAAGGGATCAATTTGCCATGTTAAGGATACAAGGACAATAGTCGTTATCAGACCCGTGTAAGCTGCCGCTGCCATTCATCAAACAAATTTTTTTTTCTGGGGCTAGGTGAGAGACTGAAATATATCAATTATTCCTTTCTTGAAAGAGGTATATGAAAGTGCAGATTGTAAACAATGCGCTCCACTATTTCAGCGGTGCTAGATAGCCGCTCTGATACAAGCATTAGTCCATTGAGTGCACACACTGTTAAAGAAAATGCATCGCTATTATTTAAAACTAATCCTGAATTGCGGAAGCGGTTTTGATTTCGGAATCACGAGTTATCTTTTTTCCCCTTCTGCTTCGTATTAAATTAATAGGGACGTTGACCGGGGTGTGATGGTGAGCACAGCAGTTGAAACAATGGGGCAAGTTTCACAATCCCCCCCCTCCCTCCTCCCGTTCGATCCACCCAGGGGTATAAATGGGATCACTACAAGTCACGGCAGCATCGGTCCATCCACCTGTCTAAAAACGGCTGGCCAGTGTGGAGGAGTAGGCCAAAAAAACAATTAGAGGCGTGGCTCTCCAGAGTTCCGTCTTGTGGAAGGCCGTTTCACCAGCGTTGCTAGGAGCATTTAATAAACGTTTAGATATTTCGTTATTTTTTTTAAACTATTTTTACCAGCTAAGGTCCACTGAGCTATGACGCTATTTTTCAGAAGTGACCTGGCCACAAATGATAGCTCAACGAAGTGGCTTATCGTGTAGATATTTAAAACAGCCACATACTCTGAATGCATGTTTCTAAATGTGGAGTGGAAAATCGGAGGACCTGTAGAGAAATACACACGACCACGGGGAGAACATACTAACTCCCAATTTACAGGCGTCAGAGCGGGATCGAACCCACCACCTTCTGTATACCAGGCGAGGTAGTTAACATCTCGCCACCGCGGCGCCTAATAAACACGCTGCATTTATTTCCTAATTGATCACGTATCAAATTAATTATTTGGAGTAGTCCTTGGAGAAATTAAGCGACTTCAAGTTACATCTCTCTTTGAATGATGTAACAGTGAGGTTTGAGTCCACGTTAAAACGAACCATGAGTCCAAACATCACTTTCACATTTAGTCATAATGTGCACACTCATCTACACCTTGCACAAGGGATAATTAAAAAAGACAAGCTAGTTAGCAGTGTCTCGACAAATCGTGCTCACGTCTTCATCTGCATGTGTAAGGAACCTAATTAAACTGCGGCAATAATTCACACTGCCGATAGGGTCTTGGACAGGATTTTTTACAAATATTATTCTTATATCTCACTCCAGGTCAACATTTCACGTTCACCAATCGTCTAAATTTACACGCAAAAATTGGGGTTGTACACGCTGCACAAATCATGTATTATTGGTATGCACAAACACTTGGACCCCCGAATGTGGGTCATGCGAACTGCAGACAGGACCACCCAGAGGTCGGAGGCCCAGGCAGCATGCCACGTGTTGTGGCCAGCTTTATTCATGAGCGATAATAAAAAAAGCCAATTTTGGGGCCCTATTTTGTGTGCTTCAAAGGGTAATTTGCCCAGCCACCCACTCGCCTCCTGCTTTCCGGCAGCCCTTCCTGACGATTAAAGTGCCATGATCTGAAGTATAAGTCCCCAGATATGTGTGGAGGGTATGAAAGCTCACGGATCTGTACAGATTAAGTAACCTGTAAAAGGATAAGTGGATCTGTGAAGCAATATTAAGGAGTATTGCTGTCTCCCGAGGACTAGAATAACTGAATGCCACAGTAAGCACAATGTAATGCATCTTTACAAAACAATGTCTCAATGAGTCTCAAGACATTATCAAGTGGGCGCTCCTATATTGGGACTTTTGGCCAATTCCATTTTGTCAAGAGTGTTTTGCTCGTGGAAGGAAAGCAGGGTTCCTGAAGGAGCCACCAGGCATTTGGGGTGGATAACATTCAAATGTACACACATATGAGCTCGCAAACATACTTGCTGTACACGGTATAATTGGAACGTTGGGCAAACGGTTCAAACACATTCCAACGTTGGCCCGACGTTGCATGTTTACTGGGTAATGAGAGCTCGAGCAGAACACGGGATGGACAAGAGGGAATCATACCACGTTTAATATTTGTATAACGCTTGTTTAACGTTGCCACGTTGTCGTGTCATATTGACCTTTTGAATGCGCCCCTCCTCTTGAAACGAGCTCACACCACAACGGCGATTTCTCTTTTGCACGTGCCACCTCTGACCCCGTGCGCTGTGCCACGCTGCCGTGCCACGCTGCTGTAGGCCCCCCGGTGCAGTCTGTGACGGTGCACCTGCAGAAGTTCGACCTCGCCTCGGACGAGCTTGGACGCCCTGGCTTCTTCACCATCGTCTACAACCAGGGCTTCGAGATCGAGCTCAACAACTACAAGTGGTTCGCGTTCTTCAAGGTGAGTCGCGCCGCCGAACGGGAGCCCCTAAGAGACGTGGGCTGAGAAACGAATCGGTAATAAATTCCATTCAATTGCTCAATGAAAAAAATACATTTCCCAGTGAAGTAATCGACGTCGTCGTCGTCATCATCACCACCCAGTCGATGCCTGTGACGGATAGGGCCTAAGGAGGCCTTCATCAGCCAGAAGATTGAGAAAAGCTGAAACCTATTATTTATTCTAATTTCAAGCACCTTGAGTAAAGGCACTCTAAACATTTTTGAGATTAGATTAGATGTTTGGGTGAGGACACGAAATGGTCTGGTAAAATGTTGTTGTTGTCATTGTGAACCCTCCAACACTGGTCACACATCCGTGCGTTTTAACCCACCGGTTATTGTTGCAACTGCTCACCAGGTGAATTGAAGAATAATTCTCATATCCCAATTTAGCAATAATCATCATCATCATCATTGCCAGTCTGCCTCGAACTACTGCTCGATGAGCACCCGGTACAGCGTATTGTGATGCTTTTGGTATCACAGTCTTGTAATTGGTTGATGTGCAGGTGGTAGGTGTATCATGTTATCGCAGATCATGAGAGGAGGTGGTGGTGGTGGCATGCGGAAGCCATCATGCAACAGTGGATTGACAATGGCTGAGGATGATGATAAATCATCTCGTTTGTTTTCTCCTGCCCATGAATAACTTTTACAAAATATAACAAGGAAACGTGATTACGTGTGAATTTGAAAACATAGTCTACGTATTTTATTAGGAAATGTGTTCATTGTACGAGAGGTCCTGACTGAGTTGGTTAAGAACATCCCTAATGCATTATTGTTGTATAGTTCATGAGAGAAAAAAACGTTGTTATTGGAGGAAATCAAAGTTGATGATAATTGCGATTAAACCTGAGCATCCCGGCCTGGGCAAACGGACGCTATAAGCCCAATCGGATACTCTCTCTGAATTTAGTGTTGTTCGCAAATGTGTGTAAGCAGCGATATAATCATCAACACGATCCTAATAATTAGCCATGTTTAATCCACTGCTGGATCGAAGCCTCCCCCAAACCCTCATGGTCTTACGATGCAACAATCCATCCAGCACCTCCGCACGAGCTTTGTACAGGAAGGAAATATCTGTGCTCGGTATGCAAAACAAAAAAAAATAATCTGTACAAAGTTAAATAACATTATAAATTGCAATCCAGTTTAACTGGGTGATGAGGGCGACGTCTGACTATATGAGTGACTTAAAGAAAATGAAATAAAAATTAATAAAAAATAAAATAATAAAATCACGACGTTTCGGAGGCAACACAAGTCTCCGTCATCACAGATGACGGAGACTTGTGTTGCCACCTACGTGACTTTACCGAAAGAACTGAGAGTATGAATCCTTGCAGTCACGAAAGCTTCAAATCTAGAATTGACTTAAAGAAAATGGTTTTAATTGCTCCAGCGATGGTTTCCGTTCCCAAAACTTTTCAACATATTGTTGGCCGATTGCAGGCCGGTGTTCTGTCCCAGTTCAGGTGTGAGATATATTTTTTTGTTACCCCACCGTTTTCAATTTCATGCTGAGGTGGGCACAATAATTTAATTAAACTCCCCCTTCCTCTACCCACCGCCTATTCCAGCTCTCTCCTTTTAAAAGGCAATTTTTTTTATGCAATTCATCCTTCCGCGAGCCTGTCCTCATTGTTTTACTAAAATTGCTCCCCCCCCCCCCTCCACGGCATTGGTTATGACAGTGGCCATCTGCGCGTTGTCACGTGCGGCCAACAAAAAACGTCTTGCTGCTGGGGAAGTCTCGTGGGTGCACATCGACCATCGGGGCTTAATTGATAAAAACCATTGTGGACGGACGCGCGATCATACCGATGGGCCCTCACAGAATGGCAAAGCTCAATGTTGTGTGAACGGCAGTTATTGTCGCCCCGTGTGTTCGCGCTTGTGGCCCCAGTTAGTGAGCAATTTTACGCTCCGTACGAACCGCACACAGTTCACGTGCACATGCAACTGCCGGTAGATGTAAAGAGAGATGTGTAGTGAGTACACTGGGCGTTTAACAATAGAGTAATTAATTATGAAGGCTGAAAGTACCCAAATCTCCACTTGGCTGTCTTTTCGTAGCGGCTGAGAAGCACTTTTGTCGGTGGTGTAGCAGTGGGCGTTCAAATGCCCTTCAACAGAATCTGCCCGTTTAAACACGTGCTGCTGGAAAGCATTGGCGCAGAGGTCTCGTAGGTGGATGGGATTATACGTTATTTAGTTTTAGCGAGGTTAAGCAGATCTTTTGTCTGTTAGTTGATTGCAGTTAGTAAATTTATTTTTTATGAATCTATATATTTACAATGAGAAACATAGTATGCATTGTGTGGTGGAGCAGGGGGCAGTGGTTTACGAGACCTAAGTTTGATTTCCAGCCATGGCTAACATTAGTCACCAGGTGATGTCTGAACTGGTGCTGCACCAAACCAGCATGGTAAAGTTATGCTCAAATAACTGTCTTGACCAACATGGTGTGGAGAGGCAATTACGCAGCGGTGGATTGACATAGGGCCTTAAATAACAATCATAAGAATTTGTATTATTTATGAAGTTAAATAAGTTAACGCTTCTATATTTTCCTGTTGAATAATGTAACGCTCATTATGTACTTGTTTAAAAATAGCACATTTGTGCATTCAAAATTGCCCACGTGTCAACATTCCTTGAAAGTATTTAAAGTTACCCAGCATGTAAGGTGCACTCTCCAACCATAATTCATTCGCATTTGCTGCCCTTTGTCTGCTCTGTAAAAAAATGTCTATTTAAAAAAAACATTAGCCTGCTGTGTATATAGTCCTTGCTCAGTTTTCCTAATGGTGAGCTGTTTTTTGTGCAAATCAGTGGTAAACCTGTATTGCAAGTTATTGGATCTATTCCAGAGATATATATTTAATGCATCGACTAAAACGCTTCTTTATTCGATTTAGAATACATTAATATTCATGCAAGTTGTATAGATTCGGAGTGTTATGCAGTTTAAAATGTGTTCAAACATTTGAGTATAACCGTATTTTAATTATAATTAAATCATGAATAATAAATAATTTATATCCCTGCGGAAGTCTACTGCTGGATGAAAGCCTCTGCACCCTGTGTCCAGCTATTTGTCTGCATCCCCAAGTTGGTCATTGTATACTTATGCACATATTTTCGTTAAATATTTATGTTAATACATCAACCATCTCTCCCAGATATCTCTACCATACGCCGTTGCTGCTGTCAATTAGCCAAATACAACAACAACAACTAATATTTCTGAAACAAACTAAGCTATTTTATTTTACCAGGTTAAGCCTACTAAGGTATTAGTTTTTTTTTTCTTCCAGCGGTGACCTGCCCACGCACGATAGCTTGTCGAAGTGGCTTATATCTTCATCACACTTGGGAATTCATAACAGCAGCCAAATAATCTAAACGCGTGTTGTTTCTCGATGTGGAGGAGGAGGCTAAACCGGAGGAAGCCGGAGAAAAATCCACGCTGCCACCACGGGGAGAGAGAGAACACGCAGGCTCCAAATATACAACGACAGGCATCGACAGGGTCCGGCATTAAACCCACAACCTCCTGTGTGAGGGGATAACATCTGTTGTCAGGGTAAATGTATGACGATGAAGAAACCGGTACTTAGCACTGCCTAGCTGTCCCATCAGCGTAATATAAACTAGACTTATTTTTCTACACTGTGTTCGGAATGTCGTTGTGTTTAGATACTATTTAAACACAAATTGGCACCAAGGAGTGACACTGGTCAGGTTGAAAGAAAATAAACGTCAGTGCCTCTGGATTTGTTGAATGCTTAAATGGCGCATTGGCAATATCAACGATGACCTCGTTGATGATCTGCAGATGTTTAGTCCTCATGACGACTCGAGTCTTGATGTTACTTTAGCAGTGCCTTTGCTGTGTAAATGAAAACAACACTAACCATCATTGGATAGACTACGACAATTCCCCAAATGCTGCTTACGTAAGTGGATCTATAGTTGACAAACCCTCCGTGTCCCAAAAGTTTCCACGAGTACACTCAATAGCAGACGAAGGCGTTAAATCAAATTGCAGCCAAATTTTCACATTAAGGTCTAGGCAATTGTGCTCCGCTCTATTTAGTACTTCGATTATACCCGCTTGCCTGATAATGTGACAAAATAAAAGCAGTTCATAGAAAATGGCAATATCTGTTTAAGTGTACCTTCGTACTGGATGTGATCATTAACAAATTGATAAAAGAAAAACAGAAATACTACGCTGCACGGTGTGTGCCTTTGACGCCACGGGTCTAGGGCAGCCAGGCTTGCACTGCAAATCAATCAGTCACAACACCGCAAGGCACTTTGAGGTATTTATTTACCTGTCATCCTGATATACACACACGCGTGATTCCTGTCACATGACTTGGGACAAGGGCAAGCATTAGGGCTTCAAGTTCACGTGACGCTGACTGGGCATGTGCTGGTGGCGTGGCAAGTTGTCATGAGACCCTGTTGTAACTTGAGGTGTCATATGCCTGATTTTTTTGGGTGCCAACTTAACCAAAGTCAGGCTTCACAGTGCTGCTCTGTCGCTCTGTGCTCATTCGTGCTGTCAGCTGAAAGGAGCGTTGTCCCCGCAGTGTCGTTAGACTTTCAGTTGAGCAGGAAGGTGCTGACGGATACAAAACAAAATTGGCAAATTATTCTTTGTCAGCGGCACGTTGATGTAGCTTCTTTTTTTTTTAAAGCCTTGTTGCGGTATTCTCATTCGTTCATTTATTTGCTCGTATTGCAATGCTGGGAGAGCGGTGGCACGGTGGTTAGAACGTTGTGCGGTCAACCCAGTGTCGCCTGAGTTTGATTTCAGGCCATTGCTATCATCATTGATAAGCAATATCTGAACTGGTCCTGGCACCCCACTTCACCCAACCTGCGTGGTGAAGAATGATTAAACAATGCCTATGACCGATATGGCACCTGGCGACCTTCATCCAGCAACAGATGGTCGGACAGCTCAAACCTATTGTTTGTAATATTAAGGTCAGCCTTGGAGACGCTCCAGGATTTGATAGGAGGTGGAGGTGGCTGTGTAGGAGGAGGAGGTGGCTGTGTAGGAGGAGGTGGCTGTGTAGGAGGAGGAGGTGGCTGTGTAGGAGGAGGTGGCTGTGTAGGAGGAGGAGGTGGCTGTGTAGGTGGAGGTGGCTGTGTAGGAGGAGGAGGTGGCTGTGTAGGAGGAGGTGGCTGTGTAGGAGGAGGAGGCTGCGGGTCTGGAGGTGGTGAAGGAGCCTCACCAATGCCTGCACCACCTCCGGACCCAACAAAGAGCGGTCGGCCATTTAAAGACATCTTCTTAGCTGATTGGGCCTTGTCGGACGTAATCTGACTGACTCTCTGGATCTGCATTGAAATGGGCAGCTTTATTCAAATGGATGTCACACACATTGTGGTCAGCCGTGAACTATGAGAGTGGGAGGGTTCGTAAAGGTTTGTAAACAATTATTGCCAAACTCCTGCAATATATGTATTTTGAATGAAATTATCAAGCAACTATTTCATTGTTTATACACCTTATACAAACATACTTGATTGTCGTCTTTGTGTGAGGCAGTATTGGCAGGCAGACCACTTGCTTGAGTACAGTTATTTGTAGAGAGAATCTGTTTCAACTCAAAGGAACCCGGGACTTGCGGTATTGATGATGTGCTGCCAACTGCATATGACCTTTGGTATAGGTAAACAAAACCATGACCCGATCTGTAGTATGGGCTGATGCTGGCTTGTCTATGCATGTGCTAGTGGAGCACACACCCATCAATGACAATGCATGACAATGACTGAGCAATCAAAAGAAGAGCCCTCTCTGTCAGAACAAGACGTCTCCGAAAGCTGGGCTGAGCTGCATTAAGCGTCGTACGTGCCTTCTGCAAATAATGAATCAAATGGTTATTTTCTAAGCCGATATTCCCAGGGCATGCAGAGGGGGTTGGTATCCGTCATTTTTCAATACATTCTGCAGCTGTGCAGCAGTTTTTTTTTTACATTGCACCATTCCCAACAGTGCTACAACCCAGAATTGTCAGGGAGGATTTTTTAAAGAGCATCTGCTGCCTGCATTTCACCGCACCGAAAGTGCCCTTCGGCAGGTCTACGCGTGGCGCATGGACGTGCCGTGGCTTTTGGGGAAGCTTTATTCTGCTGTGCTCATGTTGCCACGATTGTTCTGACACTTGGTAGGGCCGAGAGCTGCCTCGCGTCATTCCCCCCACTGGCTTTCAAGGCACAGATTGAATCGTGCGCAGACGGTGCACTGCCTTGCAGACGTGAATGAAGAGCGTACTGCGTGACGTTGTCTTGCCGCCTCATGTAAACAGACAGCTGATGCAATCAAAAAACGAATCGCCACAACCTGGAATAATATATACGAATAGAAATAAACAAAAATGTGCAGCCCTTTGTCAATTCAATGCTATAGATCAGTGGTTAATAACCTTGACTGCAGCCTTGCACCCTTTTGGTTCTCAATCGTTATTTTATTTATATTAACAAATACATAGGTTTGATGAAACAACCCAGCTTAAATATACGCTGCCAAGCCTGGTGGTGTTCATTCAGACGCTGTCTTTCCGACAGACCTGTTCTTTACCTGAGGACGGCTGCTTGCGTTGTGGCCGAAACGTCGTGAGAATTATTTTATTATGTTTTATTTTATTATTTGCCTTCTACGTCACTTTACCGAAAGAACCAAGAAGAAGGTGAATCCCTGCAGTCACAAAAGCTTTAAATCGAAATGAAACAAAGTAGTCGTACTTACGTGTCCGTGCTTACTTTGTGTTTCGATGATTTAGCTTCCAAAGAAATCTGGCCATGTCTCTCACCCCCAGGGGTGCGTGCACCCCGGGTTAAGAACCACTGGTATAGATTAAAGGGCTGCCAATAATATAACGTTGGTCACGTGGTTTCCTTTGGCCATACTTTACCTTGCTTCTCAGTGGGGGTCAGCGGACAGGACGGGGCCCGGGACTGGTTCACTGACGCTGACCATGGCCAGGAATCCAACTCATGTCGCAGGGTTTGTAGTGCAGCGCACTGAACATTGCCACCGCTCCACCCGTTAAATTTAAATGAATCTGCCACTGCATATGCATCTGCTATACGGCAGCATCAAGTAAGACAGCTGTGATATTCAGAGTCTGTGTGTGCTACACAGCCAATGCGTCCGAGTTATTTACATGTACACGTGGCAATTTACGAGGCTGGTAGAAAGTGATGCAATACTGCACTGTAAATTAGAATGTGAATGTTTGTCGGAATAGGAGGTTGCCCGATAGAGTTGGTACATTTGACTTGTGAACCAAACTGCCCTCATCTTTGTTTCAGAGGCACGCTGCCGCTGGAAATGAGCGATTTATTCATTTGTTTGCCCGTGCGTTTATTCCCTTGCTTATTTACTTCCAGTATTTTACTGTGATGTATGGCCCAGGTACAATATCTCATTTGTCAGTGTGGATTTGCTGGCAGACCATTGCTGATTGAATAGACAGTCTATATTCAAGATGCATTACTCGAAAATAACGTAAGTCATGCACCTAACATCGTAAATAACAAATACATGCGGGGGTGCACTTATTCTGGAGGGCATGGGATTTCAGGTCAACAGCCAGATTTCCTCTAATATATGGCCCCCCATTATTCAGGCTCTACAGCTCGTATTCTTAGCTGCGGGTTACATGGAGCGTTTGTTGGGAACAATACAAAAAAAACTAGCACAAGCTATCTTTGCATTATTAAATAATTTTAACAATTTCAATGGATCCAGGGCAATGGCAAAATGGAAGTATGGAGAACGCCGCGTGTGATGTTAGTCGTAATGTCCGACGTTCCTCTCCTCGTGCTGGTAGCTTCTTTGAAGAAGCAAGAACTTGAACTATATTTTATTTTACCATGTGTAAGGCCAGCTGAGCTACACAGCCCTGTCTCAGAAGTGATCTGGCCACAAATCATAGCTCAACGAAATGGCTCATGACGAGGGAATTTCATTATTTACGTATTAACATTTTTTTTTATCCACTAATTTTGACATACACAGCATATGAGAGAAACTGAAATCGGTCTTGGAAGTTTGGTGTGATGTGGAGAAGCGGTCGGCAGTGCGCTGCTTTAAACGCTGCGACTCATTCCACAGTTCACCCCCGACGAGTTAAGTTTCTTCTCAACTGTGACGGGACCCACAGGCCTTAAAAAAGACCAAACTATATTTTGTAGTTTTTACCAGGTAAGAAAGGCCCAATGAGCTATTAGCTCTTTTTTTCAGAAGCGACTTGGCTAACACAAATGATAGCCCAGTCGAAGTGGCTCGTCATCATGTGCAACATTTATAGCAGCCAAATACACTAAAAGCACGTTGATTCTAAATGTGGAGGGAAAAACCTGAGGACCCGGAGAAAAATTCACGCGATCACGGGGAGAACGCGCAAACTCCAACTATAGGATCGGGATCGAACTCACGACTTACCTGTATACCAAGCGAGGCAGTTAACATATTGTCACCATTCCCCAGCACATGGAGCGAAACACCAGACATGCTGCCAAACAACACGGAGTACAAACCCGCGTGCGCAACTGACAACGTCTGCTCGTGTTTGTGGTGGCGCGCTCGCTCGTTGACATGCGCGTATGTGAATCCCGGCATGTGCGAACGTCTACGTGCGTGTGTGTGCGCGTGCAGTGCGAGGTGCTCGCTAACAGCACTTGCCCCTACAGTCTGTGAAGGCTATACGGGGGATCTTTATCTTTGTTGTGCAGTGCGAGCGAGTGGCGCAGTGGTTAGCGCAATGCGCTGCAAACCCGGCCACCCAAGTTTGAGTCCCACTCACGGCCAACATGATTGACAAATATCTGAACCGGTCCCAAGCCCCTTGTCTAGGTCGACTCAGCCTTCAATGCGTTACCAAGTGTTGTGTGAATATCAGCACCGAAGAGACAAAGGCGGTCGGGCGTGGTTTCTGGCCACCCACTCCCTTGTGCGCCATGCGGGGCCTACTCGCAAACGGCCCTGGCCCCAACAGTCTGTTAATGCTCCACGGGGGTGTCTTTGTGCATTTGCAGTATGAGCAGGCCGGGGGTAAGGTGATCAGTTACTGCGACCAGACGTTCCCGGGCTGGGTGCACGACAGCCTGGGCCACAACTGGGCTTGCTTCCAGGGCAAGCGCGTTTCTTCTGGGCCCAGTGTCCCCAGGTCGACGCCGCTGGACGCCGCCACCTACAAAAGGTGTGTGTACCTTCACGCACCGCACGAACACCCGGTATTCCCGGGCAGTCCGCCGTCCGCATACTGACCAGGCTAAAGACCTGCTTGGCTTCTGAGATCCGACGGGATCTGATGCTTTCAGGGTGATTTGTGGGTCGTAGGCCCCCATTACAAAGCGAGGAGTCGGGGACATCGCAAAGGTAAGAAAGGCGCATTTCGTTTCAATTTTTTGCATTATTGTTATAAAGTGTGACGGGGACCGAGGGGAGCCGGTTCCACCACAGTTGTTGGTGCATGGTGCTGTGAATCCTGCGACCTGGGTTTGACTTCTGGCTATGGCTAGCATAGGTAGCGAGTGATATATGAACGGTCTCGGGTCCCCATTTCACCAGTGGGCACTGACCAGTTCAGTGAATTATGGGCATGGCCGACAGACACATGGGAAGACCTTGATCCAGCAGTGGATTGACAAAGACCTGTAAAATATGAAAAAATAAATAAATATAATAGTTACTTCATTGGGCACATTTTGAGTGATTCATCACAAGGTCAAAGTGAGATATAGCTCGTACATGTGATTTCATTGCCGAGATATGAGCCCGGTATTTGGGGCGCAGTTCTTCCTGCTCACACTCTGGCTCACACGTGCTCCTAAATAAATCCACTTGATCATTTAACTGTAAACATATATGTTTCCATCTTGGTTCGGCGAGCCTTGGCACAAGTAGTTTAATGTGCATCCTCTGTTTTGTCCCAGAAAGCCATGCCGCAGGCCATCGTCGCTTCGGAGAAATGTCGTGATGGGTTTTGATTGTTTTGCTTTTATGCATATCGATAGCTTCCACACGAGTCACTTGCAATTTAACGTAATCGTATTACCCCGTGTTTTGTTGAATTGCTTTTCACTTACGATGACCGTTTAGATAGCCGCCATCACACGCATTAAGCATTTAAAATTGTCAGGCGTGAAGAGAGAGAGAGAGGGAGTGGGAGCCACAAAGCGAAGACCACTGTTGGTGTATCGAACGTCTCTGATGCAAAGTGCCATAAGCGACAGGACAATGCTGAATTTAAGTGTACTTTACGCCATAAGCGACAGGACAATGCTGGATTTAAGTGTACTTTACACTTGAAATATGTCCTTGGAGAAACAGCTGTAAAAAACAGCAGGTTTTTTTTTCTTATCCACAAAGTACACTTCGTTATCGTGGTTAATGAGCTGCCAAAGTTAGATTTTTTGCGTTACTCGTGGCTTTTGGTGGGCAAACTTCGATCAAAATCACCACCTGACACGAAGTTTTAACCTAAACGTGCTGAGGGATCCATATATGTGATACCATGGGAAATGTGGAACACATAACCTTGTATTGACTTCCAAAGAGCCACTTTAATGGAATTAATATCAATACGCATAGGGTAATGTTTTTTCATGTACCGTCTGCTTCCACTGATTGGCCAGAGTGATTTTATTTGATTTGAAAGTATAAAAGGCTGTTACAAATTCGTGCATTACACATGGTTCATTCAATTTAATTCAATAATGCAGCACAAATTTAATTGCCCATGCATTGTTGCACGACAAACTGTGCTGACTTCTGTAATTTTATGTTTTGTACTTAACCACCAACATATACGTAGCTATGTATTTGTATAAGCGTGTAGTATTTTCACGTATCCTGTATATATACAATTGCACGTAATAGAAGCATCCTATTCCTGTGCACAGTTATAGAATAAACACTCTACTATTAAACACAATCTATCACTCGGGTTTCCTGGCTGGTAACTCTGTTGTTCATGGCCACTGCCACCAAGACGAGCTGGGTTACTGACTGCCCCTGGATTTCCCACGCGAGAAATACACTTTTGGAGAGTAAATGGCAGAAAAAGTTCGGAAGACTTAACAGACAGAAATGCCGAAGAGTGAAAGTGACGGGCCTGACACGGTCCATTCAAAATTGCTTTCATTTTTCCACTCGTGCTCCTATTTACGTAATTATTTCTCCAGAATAGCGATTTCAATGCTAGAGAATGTCTGTGTTGGTGTACGGTGCTTTTTCTGCAATATTTTGCTGTCTTTACTTGGATTTTCTGTTTGCACATAGTCACTTTAAGATGTTTTCTTGTTCATGTTTTTGTTTTTTTGTTTGTTGCGGTTGCACCCGATTCAAGAGCCGAATGGCTCACAGGGCTATACCTAATAAATGAAACTTGAAACTTGAAACAAAACCCCCACAATGCATATTATGTTGGTATTTTATGATGCAAACGGAAGATACATTTTATTGCTCCGAGTACAGTGAGATTGTGAGGAGCGGATGAGCTGTCTCTTATTTTCTGTTGCCACGGGTTGTCTACAAACACAAATAATCCTGTGCATCGCTTTGTCAGTCCTCTGATGGATGAAGGTCTCTCTGGAGACTCTGGGGGTTATTTTAACTATACTTCACCACGGGGCCAGGGGCGATGTTTCAGAAATGTTTCAGATGAAACTCATCACTGATGTTAGCCATGGGTTGGAATTGAAGTCAGGCATGTGTATAGATACGCACATTTAGGATTGCATTTTTCCTCTTTTCCTTGTAAATGATGATGATAATGATGACAATGATCACGAGGATAATAAGCTTCCCATTTTAAATGATGACAATGATGATAATGATGAGGACACTAAGCTTCCCATTGTCCATCTAGTTCATTCTCATGACGTAAAACAAGGTAACCCAGTTTGCATACCCAGGATTAATTTTCCCAACTCTATACATATATTTTGTTTATCGCGTTTGAAGTTGCTCACAAAACGTGTACAAGAAATGATGATTGCAGATCAGCAACGGAGAGACAGAGGGTGACAGTTGAGCCATGGGGTCCCGTAGTCCAGCCAAGAGGGTCTCGGTCCTGACAATGGATCAGAGGGCCTTGATTGCATTTCTCTCAATTTTCTGCACCTGGGAAAGGTGCACCCGGAGAAAATTGCCGTCTATAGTTAATATGGAAAAGCTACAATGGGTCCTAACACTGACATGGGAAACAATAACGTAAAAAAAACACATTTTGAACCCAATCATTATTAGCAATGCAAATCCGAGAGTGGTAAGAAATTGACCTGCAAGACTGCAAAACATGTAATCAGGTGGGACGGCAGAGGTGTGTAATGAGTTTACCAGTGCAGGCTGTGAAGAAGGAGGTCAAAGCAACGCCGCGTGTCTGTGTGTGTGTGTGTGAGGCCGGCAAAGGAAACACAATTTGCAGGGCGAGATGAGGAGAGACGAGTAGCACGGCCAGGGCAGAGGAAGGGAGCAATAATGTGGGAAGCTTCAGAAGAGGTCAGCCAGGCAAAGAGGCAACGTAGTGATGATGAGGTCATGGGTTTGCAGGGGTTTTTTGTTGTTGTTGTTGCTGCGGTTAGAATCAGTGTCGTATGTTTACTTAAACATTGTTTGGAAATCAATTGAAGTGTGTTTTTTTGAAAATGCTACCGATAATGTATCCCACACGTGAAGCGGCCTTCAAATGTGTTGTGGAATAAGTGGGTTTAGGATTAAGTAAATCGTTTCAAATGATGTAAAATGCACTTAACGGAATTAATCGACAGACAGTGATAATCCGGGCTGAAATTTTCACTGAATATTTCCCGGGTCGCTGGTAGCCTGGAGTAGGTGGCACGTGACTAACAGCCACGGCGAGAGACGTGCTGGGTGCCTCAGTATTTGCCACGTCACTGACCATTACAGACCCGGCTGAATTTAAGCCTCGGTTAGGAGGACATTTCTGCAAAATAACCTTATAGATCCCAGCACACGACGCCGTCATCGTAGACAAATACATCACGATTTGAATAAGCTGTGGGTGTTCACTCTTCTTCTCTGTGGAAACCCGGTAGCAGACAGGCGGGCTACAATGCCCCATAATAAACGCTGGGCTATTACCCCTGCTTCTTAATGGGAACCCAGTGACAGGACCGGCGGGCTACGATGCCCCATAACCCATCACCTCTCGCACCTCTGTTTGCCCGCAGCGAGCCACAGAAGCTGTACGAGTACAACCCCGCGTTCATCCATGCCATCAACTCGGCGCAGTCTTCGTGGAGGGCGGGGCGCTACCTGGACATGGAGAGGCGACCCATGGAAGAGATCGTGCGGCGCTCGGGTGGAATTGGCTCGATCATTCCTAAGTGAGCGCCCGCACAATGGCCTGGATATATTCTCACTCTCCGCAGTCTCGCGCGGCCCTGTGGTGCGGTGCCTCGGACGATCGACTCATGGTCAACTCACAAGTGGCGTGTTTACACGCGGCGGTATTTTGTTTGGGGCGCCACGGTGGGAGATGTTGACTGCCTCACCTGGTGTACAGGAGGTCATGGGTTCGATCTCTATTCCCGACCCTGATGCCTGTATTTTTAGAGTTTGCATGTTCTGTCTCCCTGTGGTCGCGTGGATTTTTCCCCACGTCATCCGGTTTTTCCCTCCACATTTAGAAACACGCGTTTAGAGTAGTTGGCTGATATAGATTTCCACTCGATAAGCCACTTCGTTGAGCTATTATTTGTGGCCAGGTGGCTTCTGAAAATAGCTATGTGGGATATATCTAGTAAAATAAAAAATGAAACGTTTAAAAAAGAATAGGCCTGACTCTTAAACAGCCATCACCATCAGGAATGATTAATGCACCGCTGGATGAAGACCTCCACAAGGCATCACCATCCCTCACAATGTCGCGATGCAATAATCCATGCAGCATCTGGAAATGAGCTGATTTCATCAATATATTTAATAGATAGCAGATTAAAATGTAGCTATTTGTAAACGTATATAGAAATAACATGAACTCATATATGAATAAAGTTATAGTAATTTATGTTGCATCGCCGTCCAGACCATTAATTCGCAATTATGGTGAAAGATACCAAAGTGCAAGGAATGAGAACGAATGGACATGGCTAAGAATGAGATGCAAATAATGGGCAGGTCACGTCATGAGAACAACCGGTGAGAGATGGGATAAATTAACTATGGAGTAGACAGCAAGCAGAGGACAAAAAACGAAGATGGATACAGCGGAAGAAATGACAAGACAAAGCCAGAGTCAGAGTTCAGAGGTCACTACCGGACAGGAATAAATAAGGAAAGGAATGAATGGCGTTTTGCCTAGCAGGGAGATTTTACAGTCTGACAACAACAATCATAAGAACACAAGCGGTTAAATATGAATGAAGCCACTGAAGCAGGTAATAATGGGATGGCTTAATTGTAGTTGATGACAATAACCGAAGGTGTGGGGAATCTAAAAGCTGCAATGCCTGGCACCCATTTGGGCATCGTTAAGATGTTGCCATAAATTGCCAGCCATAGGGTTAATTCCCTTCGGATTTCCCTGCAGTGAATGTACACAGAGCCCGCTTCCCACAACAGCGTAGGTGCATTGCATTGAGTGCTGTGGCCCAGGACAGGTCTGTGGTGTTAACTCCGGCTTGGGAGACTCCCAGTAGACGGTGTGAGTTTAACGTGGCAGGGGCAGTCCCCTTATAATTGAAGTCGAGGTTATGTTGTTGTTGGTTGTTATTGTGATGGGTGGCGGTGGGAGGGGGGATTGCAAGGTAAGGGATGGCACAGAGGGGGTTTATGCTCACGTCGTTGGCATCACCGGCGTTTCAGCTCCGAGTTTTTACGCTGAGCCAAATAGTTCCACAACATGCCATGGTTAAATTGGCATGTGTGTGTGTTTTATATATATAGCTTGTAGCAATAATCCCACCTTCATGTATACATTGTGTCAATATTTTTTCCAACTGTACATAATATGACAATTGATGTATTATACAGTCCTCTATCAGTCGACCTCTGCGTGAAGGAATCTCCCTGCTGTGTCAGTCATGGTCGTTGTTTAACCATACTTCACCACACGGGTTAGTGAGGGTTGTGCAAGTTATCTATACGTGTACATCGTTACACATACAGATGGAATGCTGGCACCGTGGTGAGTGCACTGTGCAATGAACCTGGTGATCTGGGCTCAATTCCTGCCGACATTCATTACCCTTGTACTTGCCATCGTTGTGAAGTGTGGTCAAACAATGCCCCTGACGCAGCTTTGGGATGTCTTCGTCCAGATGTGGATTGGCTTTAAATCCATCTTACTATGGTCAGCACATTCAACTGAAGATCAAGAAGGTTTCAAGTTCAAATGCCCATTTGGGGATCAGCTCACTGCATTATCGTCATAACATTCGGGGGAATTCAACTGTGGGCATCACATGGAGATATTGGTCAGCACCATGGGAATGTGGAATTTCCACCGCAATTTTTTTGAGCTGCCAGCAGAAATTGGCACTGCCCGATTGCGCGTGCAAGCATGGATATTTGTCGATACGTTTATTTATGTAATTTCCAAATCAACAACGGAATCAAAGAGGGCGATACTGGACAGGTAGCAGCGGTGACAGCGAATGCGTACGGAATGACGTGCGCATTGTGTGACTTCCCATCCCCACATCTCCCCCCCACCCCCCATCCGCCCCCCTTTCCGATCCCCAGCCGGCCCCGGGCAGCTGCTGCGAGCGACGAGACGAGGAGGCGAGCGGCCGCGCTGCCCGCGGCGTGGGACTGGAGGGACGTGCGTGGAGTCAACTACGTCTCGCCAGTGCGCGACCAAGGTGCCCCCCGAACGACGCAACCCGTCGTTCCTCAAACTCATTTCCGTTAGAACTGCTTTTCGTGTTGAATTTCTCGTCCTTACCCCCGCGCCTCCAATTAGCACGCTTGGCTACGTGCGGTGCGAAAGAAGTTCGGCGTACATACATACGCACGTAACGCCCACGTATTGAACTTATTTTTTTGTAGTACAGCTCAACACCAGCTCGGTACAGAGTACAAATCGTAGGGAAATAAAAAGGGGGGTTGCGGGGAGGTACAGGTGGGCGTATATACTGCACGGACTACGTCCTAGAGCCTCGTGTTGCTGTATTTAGGGGGGCGGGGGGGGAATCGTGCTGATTGCACCACCCGGCTGTGAGGACCGCGGGAGCGCGGATTCCCACACGTGAGTCTTCAAACGGACACGCACGGGCGTGGCAGAATAGATTATCGATAGAAAGGTCGACGGCGACACGTGGCGCGGTACGGTGCGAGGGGTGGAGTTGAGTGAGTTCCGAACGATCGGGAAAGGCCGCGGAGAAAGAACGACCGGCTTCGCTAGGAGGCCGTTTGGGGCAGATCGGTGGAGGTGAACAACTTGCTGGGCCCGTGGACTTATGGCAAGAGTCCTCCAACATTTCGCATTCACGGATCGCCCGTTTCTGACGATCCACCCTCATGCCTCTCCGTTCCACGACCTCCTCCTCTAGTCCATTGGTCCATCCAGCCACAGAGATGGATAACACTGCAGTCGATTGACAGGTCTCGGTCGATGGGGTCAAAGGTGGTCACTCCCACGTCTTCCAAGATGTCTGGGCAGATACCCCCTAGGTCTTTCCACTACAAGTGGCTTGGGCATGCAATTGCAGATAAATGCGCCTTCACCTTTCAGCTAATATAGAACAGCAATGCATGCTATGGAACAGCAATGCCTGATCCACCCTCTGGCGGATTGTATGAGCAAATCACACCCACAGACGCGTGGGTGTAAATGGCCACATTTTTGAGAGAGAGGGAAACAATATAGAAGCACAATTGTTTTTTTTTTTTTATTCCAGGATGTGTCACTCATATTTACGTAGATAAACATTGTGTTTTCGGAATGGGCAGCAGGGGTTAAATTCCATTGTGACAACGGTGCATTTATTGTGCACCTGAGAAGCAATGCATTATTAAGGGTCTGACATATGGGAGTGACCTGTCAAATCATGGTCCCTAGGCTAAGGTCAACACCACTAGACGGGCTATGTAATCTACAACATGAAGCAATTTCGTCGGCATTATCCATATCGCAACTATACTCCTCACATGTTCACGTGAATAATAATTATTTTACCTGCCTATTAACTGTTTAACAACCGTGTTATCCCGGTATCACCGGGATACTATGAAGTTGGCCATTATTGTTTTCATTCGTAATTTAAGGCTGATGAATATTAATGCTGAGGTTAAACTCTTACCTAGGCATCAAATATGAAAAGTATCTTTTCACAGTGCTCACGAGTAATAGAAGGTCCGTTACGAACCGAGTACGGAATTATACGTCTGAAACTACAATTATACTTCTGAAACGGCACCTTTAAAGTGCTTGTAACATTAGAATCTGACAACATGCAGTTTAGGGAGGGAATGTTGTCTGGGTTATATATTCGTTGCACTCAATTGAAGGTAGCTAAAGATGGAATACTTGAAGTGGTCACGTGGCTCAGAGGTTAAAGCATTGAACTGGGACCCCCGTGATTCTGCGTTTAAATCCAGGTCACCAACCATAATTAAACCAGGTTCCCAAGATTTGAAGCTTTCGTGACTGCAAGGATTCATATTCTTAGGTTTTTTCGGTAAAGTCACGTAGGTAAAAAATTAAAATTAATAAAAGTAAAAATAAAAATAAAAATCACGACGTTTCGGAGGCAACACAAGCTTCCATCTTCAGGTGGAACCGTCACAGCACGATTGCTGTTTCAAGTATTTTTTACCTACGTGACTTTACCGAAAAAACCTAATAATACAGGTTCCCAAGCCCAGTGAGTTGACAGGCTCTTCTCGCTCGCCAATGACAGCACAAAGGAAGGATATTTTCTCGCTGAATATGGCTAAAATATATTTTTTTTTAAGTGAAAATTTATCAGTGAAACTGTCGCGCAACGAGCATTGCCCCCTTAGCGGAGCACGAGGAGAAAGCTTGCGGTGCCCTCGCGTGGAAAAGAGGTCACCGGGAGGAATCTCAAGAAGTAGTTCAGTGAAATTTTCCTTCGGCGGGGGTGCTCCAAAGCAACGTGATGCAGCGGATTTGTGAGATATCTCGGTGGGTATTTCGTCTGCAGACGTCACGCCAATAGCACAATTGGCCTACGATTGGGAAAAGAGACGGGCAATAATTCAAAAAGACCGATAATATATACGGGGGATGATGTCTCGGTGCGTAATGGTTACCAGTTTAACACGTAGGCTTTGGCGACCAATATCATCCATAATATATATTTTTTGGGTTAGATCGCGTAAATATATAAACGTGTCGTTAAACCCGCCACCACCCGACACAGCCAACTAGTAAGGGTTGTCACGTAAACAGAACGTGGTCAATTCGTCACTAGTACAGCGCACCGGTGTGTTGGAGAGCCAAGCCACAACATTGACAATCTGAGTACGACGTTTCGCCAGTAATTACAACTAGCTTCATTAGGCTGCCGCCGGTAGTCGGTTCGTATTGTGGATAATGGTTACCGCACTGCACGTGGAATCCAGAGGCAGTTGGAACAAAAAAAAAGGGTCACGTTTCCTAATCCCCCCATCTCTGCCAACCCAGCAGCAAAAAAAAAAATCGGTGCATCACAGTCCGTCGATCAGCAGGTGGCGTGTGGTGGGGTAAAGCGTGGGTACTCCCTCGTCTGCAGGGACATCTGGCTAGAATGTGATAGCGGACCACTCGTAGGGAGGTGTTCGAGGTCTCCTGCTAGTGTGAGGGCCATGCACGAGCAGTGGGATGAACAAGACATTGCAGGGCTGTACCTTTATCTTTTAAAGAATATAGATACTGATAACACATTTGTTTATTACACGTGATCATGACCGCATCAACAGCACGTGTCGTAATGTCATTTGTTTATATCAAATGTTTCTTTTGGGGGTGGGCATAATCAAAAACAGCCCATTTCTCTCGAGCCATCGAAGGACATTGTAAATCATAAAATTAATGGAAATTAGGCTTCATCTACTTATATTAAAAGCGGCACAGGTACGTTTTTTGATTTATGGACATATTAAAAATGTCGTTGTACTGACCACCCATCAATTTAAACAGTTTGAAAACTCGTCATAAACCCAGGTCCACATGACTGCGATAAAGATAAATGTGTTCCAATGTGGGTTAAAGTGCACCATAATGATACGACGACATTAGGTTCCATCGTGAATACCTCCTGCTAATCTGGCACCGGTTCTGGTTGTCTCACCGCTCGTCTGTGGTTCAATAAGTCGACGTTTCGAGATGCAATTTGCGTGAATGACGCGACGTTGAATTATTACGATGACAAAACGTAGCGTCAACAATCCACGCGCACATCGCACCGCACAAACGTGCGTGTGCATTTTTTATTGAGCTCTTGCTCCAACAAATAACGATCTCGCCCCCTGGGCTTTAAAATAAGGACGAGCTAGAAATGAAATAAGAATGTTGACGTAGCTCTTGGAGCACAGCGACCTTAAGCCAGAGAGAGAAAAGGAGAGGCATAAAGTGAAGCTTCCCTGTAATTGTGTTGTCATTGCAGGATTATGTTTTTTTTCCTCCGGAATTTTGCTTTTCAAATGATATGCAGCATCACAGCAGTGAGGCCAATATAATGCGCCATAAACCCTTGAAGCAATCATAGGTTAATGTATCGGTGATATGACCCTGCGGAATAGGGCTTATGTGCTATTGTTATATTTATTGTTACAACGGTATAGTCGATATCGGTTTTATAATAACAGTAATGGCCTTTAAAATGATAGGTACAGTATGTATAATGAAGAGATGGGCAAGGATATTTTAAATAGGTTATTTCCCCACTGGTACAATTCATGACTATAGGACATGAAAGCAGATTTTTTTTTTTGCGTGGTGTGAAATGAGGTTAATATTTTAAACAGCCACGAGACCACACGTAATTGGGGAAATTATGCTACGTAAAAAAAACACGAGCATCTTTAAAGGGTGTTTATGATATAGGAGTTTTCATTATATGGCTAAAAAGGAGAGGTGTTTTTTGGAAAAAAAAGTTCTTACTTTTGGTAACCATTGCATATTCAGCAATTAGTAATGAATGTTAATGCAAGGACATTAATATAGCAAGTTTGGAATGAAAAGTGCTCTAGTATGTTTTAGCTTTGGATGTTACTCAGATGGCAGACCAACAGGTGCCCAATTAGAGAAGCATAAGTTCAAATCCTGGCCCTGGCCAGCTCAGCTGCCCATCTGGTGCCAGTAAAAAAAAAATCAGCCAGCCCAGTATTAAGTTACATTTTCACGATTCGTGATCTTGAAACGATTCAAGGGTTTTCGTCTCCATTTTTTACTGCCTCGTTCGTGTTCCCCGTTGTTTTACATCTCTTGCAAATTGGTGGTTTACTCCATTGGTGTAATTGTAGCGTGAGCATACTATTTTGATACATCAAAAATGAAACATTCTCACACGCATCTCGCACTACATACATCGTGAGCCTAAGAAATCTATTTCAGCTATTTAATTGATGCATCCATACATGCCTATAGAGTACACATGCTAATTCTGCTACGATTGGGTGGGAAGGCTTCAGCGGTCATCAAATGAATATTGTCCCTTCTATGAGAATGTCCTCAAAACTACACGGATGGGCACTGCACAACATTAATTTGAGCACGGGGGGGAACTTAACCTGACATATATCTGTAACTCTCACACAGAGTATTCACAAGGTTGCATGGTTAACCCATTCCTGCCTTGTATATATATGTATATCTGTATGTATGTGTGAATATATAGAGCAGGGAGTTCTAGTTTAATGGTTAACGACCTTCGCTACCGATTCCGGAGACCCGAGTTCGATTCCCGCTCACGACCGATAACAGTTGGCATCTCCTAGATCGACTCAGCCTAAAATGAGTGCCTGCTATAGTGTGTAAACACCAGCACGCGGGGAGACAAAGGCAGCCGGGCGTGGTGTTGTCCACACCCCACCTCGTGTGCCGTGCCAGCCTTCATCGGGTGCTCGCTAACAGCACTTGCCCCAGCAGTCTGATGAAGGCTATGACGGCGGACCTGTGATGTGTAACGTGTTGCACGCTGTGCTCCGTGCGAACAGGCGGCTGTGGGAGCTGCTACTCCTTCGCCTCCATGGCCATGCTGGAGGCTCGCGTTCGCATCCTCAGCAACAACACGCAGCAGCCCGTGTTCAGCCCCCAGCACATCGTCTCGTGCAGCCCCTACTCGCAAGGTGGAGGGTCTCCCACGTGTCCTCTCTGTGGGGCTAACCCCGTCTGTTTGAATGCATGGGTATATGGATAGATGCATGTGAATGTACGTGTGTTGAACGTTTTTTGCACCGTACGTAACCAGCCGTGATCATCGGAGGTGCAGGGAAAAAAAAGATGGGTGAACGGGATGGATATTTGTGTGTGTGTGTGGGTCAGGGGAGCGGTGGTGTAGTGGTTTAGCACGGCGCTACGAACCGGGCGGCTAGCACTGGTGACGATTATCCGAACCGGTCCTGGGCCTCCTCTCGGTCGAGTCAGCCTCAAATGAGTACCTGGTGCAGTGTGTAAACATCGCCACTGGGGAGACAAATGCGGTGGGGTGTGGTGCTGGCCACCTACCCCCTCATTGTCATCTGTATCACCACCATCAACAATAACAACATAACGCTCTCATCATCAAAGCCTGTACAATTATCATCACCAACATTGTCATCATCATCTTTGGAAAGCCTTTCGATGCAATATTCATCATCATCATAAGCCATGGCCAATCCACTGCTGGATGAAGGCCTCCCCAAGCTGCTGCCACCTCTCACGGTCCTGCAATGTAACAATCCACCTAGCACCTGTACTTCGCTCCATCTCCACAGTTGACGGACCCCTGACGTGTTCCATTCCTCGGCTGACAATCCATGATTGGTTTTGATCATCACCTATTATTCCTTGGCATGACAAGCCTCCGATGAGCGCGGTTGGCTACGTACGGTGCGAAAGAAGTTCAACATACATACAGCTGACTTTTCTCAATTCTCATTACGGCATAATATAAATGCCTTGATAGTGGCATTGTCCTTGTGCCGTTCGCCTTTTGGCGTACTCTGGTCTAACACTGTTTGAGACTCGGCTCAAACGAAAGCTGTCTCTGGTGTGGACCAATCGGTTTCAAAGACAATGCATCATATATTATTAGAGCATGTTTTTTGTTTGCATGTTCACCACAAGCACGACGTGTGGTGAATGCAGACGGGATTCCTTGAATAGCGATTCTGATTGGTGGTTTTAACATCTTAACACCTGTTTTATTGCCATGAAGGGTAAAACCTATAGTTATATATCGTTATATGGCATGATAATTATGACGATTCGCTGACACCCTTATGTCGCGCGCGCTCTCCCAGGCTGCGACGGCGGGTTCCCGTACCTGATCGCGGGCAAGTTCGCGCAAGACTTCGGCGTCATCGAGGAGAGCTGCTACCCGTACATCGGCCAGGACAGCAAGTGCCTCCCCAAGGACCCTAGCTGCCTGCGCTACTACACCGCTCACTACCACTACGTGGGCGGGTTCTACGGCGCCTGCAGCGAGGAGCTCATGCGTCTCGAGCTGGTGGAGAACGGGCCCCTGGCCATCGGCTTCCAGGTGTACAACGACTTCATGGCCTACCAGGGTGGCATTTACCACCACACGGGCCTGCACGATCAGTTCAACCCCTTCGAGGAGACCAACCACGCCGTGCTGCTGGTGGGGTACGGCACGGACGCCGGCGAGCCCTTCTGGATCGTCAAGAACAGCTGGGGCGAGGGCTGGGGAGAGGGCGGATATTTCAGGATCCGTCGTGGCACCGACGAGTGCGCGTTCGAGAGCATCGCCATGGCAGCCACTCCCATCCCCAAGATTTGATCTTTTTATCTAGGTTCTGGTTTTTTTTGTTGTTGTTTACATAATCTTGTTATCTGTGATTATGTTACAATTGTGGTGTTGTTGTGTTTGTGTCATATGATTATCATCTTTATCTTGGGTTGCCACCTGTTTTATTTTTTTCCCAAGATAGTTCTCTTTTTGGGTTTAGCTGTCCTGGAAAATCAGTAAGTCTTCCCGGGAAAAAGTCTTGCTTTTATCAAATGTGTAATGCACCAATACAGTCACGGCCAGATTAACCCAGTTTAACACGCAGGCTTCCGCGACCAACTCTGGCTGAAGCCTGATGATGCTAGTTGTAATTACTGGCGAAACGTCGGACTCTAATTGTAAATATTGTGGGTTTACTCTCCAGCACACAGGTCTGCTGTACTAGTAACGAATTGTCATATTTTGCTTACGTGACAAACTTTACTAATTGGATGTATCGGGTGGTGGCGGGTTTCATGATACAATTTATATTTACGCGATGTAACCCAAAAACCTCTTATGGATTAACCCATAGCCAAATAATGCCTTAGGCCATCATATGTTTGTAGGCCCTCCATCCATGTTGAAGCAACAGCTGAACAACGTTAGCAGCGCTATCGGAATGTCTTTTGTCTTTGAATTACGATGACAGCATTCATTCATGACGGCTTCACAGCCAAAGTTAGAAGGAAACAAATACATTTGAAGAAATTGAGTGAAGCGAGTGATTTATGTTTGAAGAAATTACGTTGATTCGAATACATTTATGAATTTTACATAGGTGAATAAATGTTTGATGACTTCTAGACAATGTTTTGAAATCCATGTAGGCCCGTCCCTCCTATTAAGTCATCGGCCCATCCATCTTAATCCGGTCCTGATACCAATACATTCACATTCCGTTTTCACCTGTTTTAATATTGTAAGATATTCTTCTCATATCTCACAGTTGTTTGAGCCGTCGGATGGGGGCCATGTCATCATCGTTACCATGTTATGAAATAGAGAAATGTTCTTGTGGAGCTTAAAACGTGAAAAGTGTAAAATCACAACGTGTTGGGGAATGAAGCCTGAACAAATAACATACGGGACACCCTCATGAGCTAGAAACGAAAATGTTAAGTAAAAAGAAGCCCTTTAATATAATCGTCGTGGTACAGACATTGCCAGCTGAGTGTTCTAACATCAATTAGCTCTGTGGACAACCCAGTCACCTCACATTCATTGTCACAATGAACAATGTCAAGTTTTTCATTTATTGTGTGGACTAAAGCAGCCCACTTTCTTGGCGCCATCGTCTATAATGCCTTACAGATGTCATCAATCTTACTTCCACGATGTTATCATCATCCTTGAAAATGTTGTTCATTTTCCTCCGGAGTGATTGTCGTCTGTTTTGTGCACGTGATTTGCGACGAAGAAATTACGTTAATATTGATGTTTTCTTTATTGAACTATGACCTATGATAATCACTGTGAAGAGAGTATTTTCATTTTGTGCAATGAAAAACATCCATAAAGTGTGTCACTTGGCACGAATCATCACATTGCATGGCTCGGTTTTATTTTAATTAGAATTAACTTTTGCATTACTGAGTGTTGACCATAGATTAGTTATTAGAGCTGTTATTTGTTAATTCTGAAACCTTACTGAGGTGACCGCATGGTAAATTTAACAAAAAAAACTCCCGACACATTTGTCAATAACACTCGGTGGCCTTCAAAGAAAACAATGATGGCCGATGTTTCCAACAATGACCCTTCTTCACAGCACACGAATAGCAAAAACATGCCATGAAGAACAACCACTGGCCAAAAACACCACCCATTATATATATATTTTTCCAGTCCACGAGCGTTATTGACAAATGTGTCGGGTTATTTTTTTATAATTGTGTTTGTGCTCCACTGCCAATGCAGCATCGCCAAGTAATTTGTTTAACATTACAGATTTACGTCAGTCGTGGCATTAGGGCTAGGTGCTTGCCTCGGGCAGGACATACTGTGTGAGAAAGTACACTAAAAATGTGTTTCAGGGATGAAATACTCACCCCCCACCCACCACCAACCACACCACCCTCCCGATTTCCGAGGGCACCAGTAAATCGAGCACTGCCTGTTTCACGTAAGAAAATTCGCCATATCTGGGTGCTCTCAGCATGACTTGGCTGGGCCCTAGGATAATATAAGTATAACCCGTAAAAACAAAGTTTTTCACTCTAAATCCTTTATATGCGTGGCGGCTAGAGTCCTCTCGTCCTCTGGCTTGAGATGGCTGCCACCTATGGGTCAGATGATTGTCTGCCAGTATTAAACAATTGGTAATTAAATATTTAATTCGCTTTCCCTAAACAGTGTAAAATTTTGGAAATTTTTTTCACGAACATTAATTGTCACGCACAACGAGTCTGTGTGCAAAATGTCAGCTCGATTGGATCACGGGAAGTGGGTTAAAAAACGACCGAAAGGTTTGCACGGTTCTAAGCAAGCAAGCACGCAAGCACGCGAACTTAATATAAAGGATTTAAAAATGTGTCTCGGCGCAGCCCCGCGATTACTTGCTCACCCCCACTACTGACAGAAGGGCCTCCACTAGAGAGAGTTCTAGAAAGCCCCGATGTCATAATTTAATACTTCCTTCTGAAGATACACTTGTGGGTGAAGGCCCCCCTCCCCCATTCCTTTGGGGATGTTTTTTGTTGTTGTCCTTTCCCCACACCTCCGATTGGCGTGGTTGGCTACGTATGGTGCGAAAGAAGTTCAACATACATTCATGTTTGACTATATATAACTATTCTATATTTGAATTTTTCGTGACTGCAAGGATCCATATTCTTTGGTTCTTTCGGTAAAGTCACGTAGGTGAAAATAAAAAATAAATATACATAACTAATGCTGGACAGTATGGGTTGATGAAGGGATGGAGTAGGTGCCTTTATCTCCCCATTGCTGATGTTTGCACACCATACCAGTTACTCATGTAAGGCTGAACTGACCTTGGGGATGCCCAAACTGGTTCAGATATCACACTCCACTGATGTTAGCCATGGCCAGGAATTTAAGTTCGATTACCATGTCCCATAATGTAGTGCACTAATTACTATGCCAACACTCCTCCCCCAGGGGAATAGCTACTTCTCATTTATTAACCATGACTAATGTAGTAAACATCTCCATATTAAATAGCCACATTGTAATGAGAATGTACCATTACTCTGATATAATGGCCCATTATGTTTGGTTATAATATCTGAAAATGTTTAGAACCAAGACCTAAAGTTAGACGTAAGTATACTTTATGAGCAGCGGCCGATTGCATAAACAATTTAAGCGTACATTTTTCTTAAGTTCATCATTCAAAGCTGTATAAGTTGAGAAAAAAATGTTCAGGTGTGTAATGCAATTGGCCACAATTCTTGAAGGTAATGCGTCAATTGAGATGTTGTATTGCATTGTGGGGGCAATATAAATGCAAGCATTATTTATCAAATATTATTGGTATCCATTAATAACTTTAGGATCTGGCAGATAGAACAAGCATTGGCTGTGTTGACCTCTCAACTTTGACCTTTGGCCTCCAAAGTTCGACACAATAAAAAACCAAAAATATTTTACCGCATCAAATGTTCACAAACTTTATTCTTATAATGGCAAACTAGAAAAAAAACATGTTTCACACATCATTGAAAGCAGGCAATTTCTATTAGGATTATAATACATATTGCAATCTACATTTATAAAAGTGTCAATAATTCCCACAATCTTTTCACCAATATTTGTGTCTATGATTATACACTTACAGCTAAATTGTAATATTTATACAAGTTAGTACACATTTATATTCAATATGAAATGCTACACATCTGCACGCAGGCATCATAATGTTTATATATCAGTACCCAATAGCATGATATTGAGAGCTGTTAACACATATAAAGATGAATTTAATTATATGCACCGTGCCTCTGGCCTCAACAAGTCACAGATTGGCCTGTTAATATACATTGTCTCTTGTGTCAAGATAGTTGAAAGCTGTGGCGAGTGAAAATACTGCAGATGTAAACGTTCCCTTCAGATTGCTTTTTCGTTAAATACACATTCAAGTACTTCACTTGCATGATGTGCTGTGGTGTAACGGTTAGCACACCGGACATGCAATCCGGACGTCTCTGGTTTGATCTCCCGGCGCAGCAGGTTTATGAAATCTCCCACCCAGCAGTTTAGCCGAGGATTGACACAACTGGTCATTCAGCAGCGTGGTAGGCTAAAGTGTGGGCACTTCCACCTCTTCCAAGACATCCGGTCATTGTGGAAGAGTTGGCCAAAACACCCGTTAGGGCTCCCTGCGGTGGAGACCCTTCCACGAGCAGTTGCGCGATTACACAATTGCAGACCGCACCGTTGTACCTTTTACTTTACGTATTTATAGTATTATAGGTGTGGAGGACTCACACACACCCGCACTCGTTGCGGGGCACGCCCGTGTAAACTGAGTGCATCGCGACACGGCGGGCGGGCGGGCGGGCGAGCGAGCGACCTACATTGCGAGGAAAAGAAACAGCAGCAGTCCCACCACCCAGCAGTTGTGCAGGGCCACGTGGCAGGCGCTCATTCTCTTTCGACCCATGGGCAGCTCGCAGCGAGCCCCCTCCCACCCCGCGTAGCACTGGCACCGGAACGCCTCCTTCATGGCACGTACGTCGCTGCGGTGCAATCGGCCGACCACCCGGTCCTGCCATCTCCCGCGGCGGCGGTCGGCGGAGGCCTCTGGGGGCGCGATCCGAAAGCTCGCCGGGTTCAGGTGGAGGTGGGCCGTGGAGGACGGGTGCTTCCGCACGCAGCGCCCGTGAGCCTCGCACAGGGCCTCGCTGCACAGCTTGGCGGCGGCAGTCACGTTGATGAGGTACGGCCCAAGGATGTCGTCCACGTAGGCCTTCACCGCCCGGCAGTTGTCCTGGAGGGATACGCACGCCACGGCGTTACAAAGTGAGCGACGGTGGTTTTCCGTAGTGTTGGATACAAAGCGGGTGGGGGGGAGAGTTGGGGGTGGGTGGGGGGGCTTTACACCTGACACCCCCCCTACACCCCACTGGAGACCCCACAAAATGTTATATTGACCTTTAAAAGAAGACGAAATGTGATGTGGGCCCTTTGAGAAAATTACACTGCATTATTTCAGTGATACGCTGGTAAGTTTGCCTTTGTTGCATGTTACTGGTCTATGCAATTATGTTACTGGTCTATGCAATTATTTCGTACCGAACGTAGCCAACCGTGCTAATCCGAGGTGCGGGGGAAGGACATTTTTTGTAGGAACGTAGAGCCCTATTTAAAAGGTTTGCAGTTTTGGGACCTGCCCCTCCTCCCTCGGGGAGTTTCCCAATCCGCCTCTGGTCAGCTGACACAAGCACGAATCTGTTACAGCAACATAACACCGACTGAATAAGGGGTGAACATAAACAAATTGACAAGATAGGACTTTGCTCATTGATGATCTTTGACGGATTTGTGCGTTGGAGGAGAGCACTCTCCTACTGATTTTCTTTCGAGAGCAAACACGACAAACGAAAGAGAATAAGCCATCCTCGCAAACAACGATCGACGTGGCCACGTTCAACTTTACCGTTGACAGAAACTGTAAAAATAGATGAGGCCACTTGTCTTACTTAACCTGCCGCACACACACACACATAAGAACCCCCGTATAGCCTTAACAGACTGTGGAGGCAAGTGCTGTTGGCGAGCACCTATGAAGGCCGGAACGGTATACAAGGGGGTGGGTGACCAGCACCACGCCCGACCGCCTTTGTCTCCCCAGTGGCGATGTTTACACGCCGCACCAGGTACTCATTTGAGGCTGAGTCGACCTAGGGGAGGCCCAGGACCGGTTCAGATAATCGTCACTGGAATCGAACCCAGGATGCCAGGTTCATAGCGCAGCGCGCTACCGCTCCCTACATCCCACACATACACACACACATACACACGCGACGAAGACGCTGCTCCTTTTGATGTTTGGTAAAAATGTACCGTTTCATGTTTTTACTCGGATGTACATTTGCAAGAATCAATTGGAGGAGATGGATTTTTTTTTATTTTTGCCACCAAGGAGGGTGACCGCGCTTAAACTAATCACACCGGCTGCACGTGACGATGTTTATCGAGAAGCAATGCAGGGCTTGAGACCATGGATTTCCTTAGACGTAGCTCAGCAAAGCAACACGGGAGCTGAACCAGCAATCGCTCTGGTACCGACTCGGCAGTCCGACTTTGACACTACAGCAATTCGAGTTGTCCATTGACTGCTGTAATTTTTCATTTCAAAGAAACACAGGACTTGAACCAACCATCCCTCTGGTACTGACTCGGCAGTCCGACTTTGACACTACAGCAATTCGAGTTGTCCATTGACTGCTGTAATTTTTCATTTCAAAGAAACACAGGACTTGAACCAACCATCCCTCTGGTACTGACTCGGCAGTCCGACTTTGACACTACAGATATCTTAGCTATCCATTCAATGCTGTAATTCTTCATTCAGATCAGGGTAGAATTCCCGGGGGTTAAAAACCAGACTGCCGTTACGCAGTTTCACTTCACTGGCGGCATTTTTAGTTTGTAAAGTCACGAACATTGTATGGTTTTAGCCAAACTTCCTTTTGGCTAATATACTGCATGTCCCATGTTCTTCAGTGCTTGACATGGCACTAACTCAAGGTGCCAAAGCTGCCAAGTGAGACTTCAAAAGATGTGACAAGCAGCAAGGTCGACTTTTAAGCATATTTACTACGAAAATTGGTGACCGTCCTCCACGCTGATGAATGTCAAAGTCAGCAAAATGTTTCCTGGCATCGCAATCTCGAGATCGCGGGTGATGTGGAGGCATAATGCAATTCACCGCTGTGTTAAAATTACACTGTCTCTTTGGTGAAGCCCAAATGGACGAGGAGGTAACTGCGGCACAAATAATGCGATGCACGATACATTTTACGTAACAATGATGCAATTTATAAGACGCATTTCTGGAGGCGTGGAGCCGAGCTCAAGCAATGCAGAACGTGATAACAATTAAATCAAGAGTGATAACAATTGACTCACGATCAAAAGGTCACAAGTTCAAATCCATTTCCATTGTAATTTCAAGCCATCATTGATCTGGTGTCAAAGGTTGTTTTTCTTTTTAAATAGATTATATCCTGCCGTAGGAATGTGGGACATTCGCTTCGAGGTCAAAGATACCAATGGTGGGGTGTGCCGCCTTCATTGTTCGAAGATACAACGTGACACGTTTGACTGCTATATTTGGGCGGGGACATGGTCGTGCAGTTGCACTTTCGCTGTTTGCTGCAGAGGTTCATGTTGGTAATCAGGCGGTCACGGCTGGTAGATCAACCATACAAATAAAAACGCTTAAAAAAACATGTGAATGTGAGCGTGCCGTCCAATTCGTAGTGGACAATAAAGATGCCCCGATGTCATTCGCAAAGGAATTGGCCGCTGTGTGTGCCGGCATCATGCTCTGAACTTGGCAAATTTTAAAACGCCACTCACAAACTACTCAAATGGGATTGCACGTAGCAATCGAGTTGCCCGACTACTGAGGCCGGACTCCCCTGAAAAAAGTCTTGAGACTCCGTGAGGCTGACCTGGGCAAGCACGCGTAAGAATAATTATTTTTAAAAAATTGTATCATGTACTGAATCAGTTAGTCGCAATTATCCCAGAACCTTGTCCACTAGGTTATTCTATCTTCATCTTAAATGGCACCCAGGTAATTGCGAGAAACTTATATAACGTGCAACAGTTTTAACCGTAACTTCATACATCTGTCTAAATTGTGTGGTTAGCTAATGTGGAAATGAGCAGCGCCACCTTTAATACAATCCCATTGCACGCCGTTTGCCTCCATTGCTGTATTAGATAAGAGCAAGGCAGTGATATTGTCCATGCGAATTTGTGCAAATAACCTATGTAACCCTCTCAATGGATGGAAATTGATAACTATGATGATGTTTTATTCAACAACAAGTAATATTTCCGTGTAAACCCATTTGAATAAAAGTGAATGGGTATTTGGTTCAGATCATTTACTGTGTATTGCCTTTCCAATGAAGCCAATTATATGCAACGGTTCCTGCCCATTTGTCTGTGGATTAAGGAAGTCTAGAAAAGTACAGGCAATGCATTTAAGCTGCGTCTGCTCGCACACACAGTGAGAGCGCTGCATTTAATCGCACCGCAGTGTCCGGTCGTAACTTTTGCTTCGCGAATTATCTAGTAACTCCGAAAAACAATCGCTTTACGGAAGCTTGAGCAATGCTAAAAAGCCTTTCAATTCACCAAGTCACGCTCAGCTACTAGGCACCTCGTTTGCTCGCGCTCGTGTCTCATTTTTCAGCAATGCCTACGTAGATCAAGCGACGCAGATTGAAGATATCTCTTGATTGCCGGCGGTAAAAATTGCACCAGTGAAACGCGCATTCGCAAATTGGATGTGAAGCGCGTTTTGTATCGAGCGCCGCGGTCGCAGACACTCCGCTCGCCGAGATCCGCTCGTACGTCACTCGACTTTTATGCACGAACGCCCCACTTAAAGTTGAATTGCAGCACAATTTGTACAACGGAAAATTCCGCAGCGGTAGAAACACATGTACAGTTGCCCAGCCATCTCTGCCATGCATTTCCACGCTTGGTTACAACCTTGTTATCCATTATATATATGCAAATTGTGCGTATATATGTAGTATGTATTGTGAGTGGTGTTTATTATACGATCCATTTTCCTCTGTTTTACTGGGTAATAGCCAAATAAAATCATAATTATATTTTATAATGGACACGCACAAAAAGGATGACTTATAGAAGACATGCGAAGGATTATAAATTGTAAGTGTTTGCATATATACAGTGTGGTATAACATGCAACTATGATGCCATTGGAATAAGAAAATTGTGCTAAAAAATCTATTGATTTTTTTGGAGGACCATGACTGAAAAACATGCACACCTCGGGCAATTATTGATGGCAGACTGGGATCAAAATATGCGAGAGAGATGATGATGCAAGACAGAGTAGGCCGGAGTGCTTTTGAGAAACTGAACTTGATCATATAAATCAACAAACCAGTGAGACTGAAGAAGAATGTTTAATTCAGTGGGTATCACCGGCTCTGAAATAAGGATAGAAAACATGGACACTGGTCGAATAAACTGGAACGCAGAGCTGAAAAGTGTGCAAAAAAGCATGAATGGGTGCATCATTGGAATGAGACGCAGAGAGAGGAGGAGATGGACTGGATGCTAATTGGAGACATCATATTGACTCGTAAGGAAAGTACTTGGGCTTGGGGCAGGCCATGTCCACTCTTAGCGATGGATGACAGCTGATAAGACAAAACAGCTTATGATGATTGAATTGCAGTCAGTGGAAGTAAAAACTAAAAAACTGGTTTTTATTTTACCAGGCAAGGCCCACTGAGCTATATAGCTCTTTTTTTCAGAAGCGACCTGGCCACAAATGATAGCTCAACAAAGTGCCTTATCACGTGGACATGTATTGTAGCCAAATGCTCTAAAGGCGTGTTTATAAATGCGGAGGGAACAAAACCGGAGGACCATGAGAAAAATCCACACAAACCACAGGGACAGAGACACGCAAACTCCAAATATACAGCAGGCGTCGGGGTCAGGAACGAACCCGCGACCTCCTGCATACCAGGTGAGGTAGGTGACATCTCGCCACCGAAGTAATCGGAGAACCGAGAGGGTCAACCACTGTGGAGACGGAGTGATGAAATTATCTCGTGAGCGGGAGTGAGATGGATCGTTGTAGCACTGGACCATGAATTGTGGCAACTCTGTTGGCAGGACTTCATTTCATGGCGAGCAGGGCACAGCTGCCGCTCTATATGTATGTACGTTGAACTTTTTTCGTCGCCAGATCGTGCTGATCGC